GGGAGCCTGTCCTCCCTCCTGGGTGTGACAGCTTACAGGGGGATGGACAGCACAAAGGAGTGCTCCTGCCACCGTGCTTCTCTCAGCCCTGCCTCCTCAGCCAAGGTGCCCTGCCGTCTCCCTCCAGGGCTGTTATCATGCCCTGTATGATCAAATCACTGAAAGCTTCCTACTTGGCCTCACCCCATGCCCCAAGCAGATGGCCTCACTCTCCTCTGTGTGAGTGCTCTGCTCCCTTCACAGGTGAGTTTCCCCGCTGAAGTGTGTGTTTCTTCCTAACCCCACACAAACACTGTAGGACGGACAGATGGATGAACAAATGAATGAGGGATGGATGGATGGATGGATGGATGAGAAAGATGAATGAATGGATGGATAGAAGAGATGGATAGATGGAGGAGACAGATGGAGATGGAAATGATGGGTGGATGCACAGATGATGGCTATCTGGATACCTTCTCCTACACCAATCCCAGGTTACCATTTCTCTGAGTCCTGCAGTGGAACCTCAATAGGATGTCACTGGGGAGCCACCTCCTCTCGGTTCCCACAGCCTATGGAGCCTTCTGCCCTCTCTCCTCCTCCTTCTCCCCCAGCAGCTCAGAGCCACAGTCCAGGACCAGCTGGGTTCTCCTCTGTGTCCTGTCTCCATGGGTGACAGCTGAGGAACATGGATTTGTCCCTCCTCTAATGCGAGGCAGGCCTGGGTTAGCAGACCAGCTTTCTGCAACCCAGAGACCTGCTATAGCATCGGGGTTCCAGGGCTGACATGTGGGGGGATCGCACTAGAGCACAGTGGCTGTAAGGTGCTCCCCTTTCAGACGAAGATGCAGCCTGCACCAGCCATGGAGAAGGCGCATGATGCCTGGAGCCTCATGTCTCCTCCAGATTGCAGGGCACGGGGACCAACTGGCTGCTCTTCCTTTGGGTTCCACCCTGGCTAAAGGCGTAGTGAAGGGGAGGACATGGCCTGACCTTGTGAGCAGTTACTTGCAGAAGGTCAGAAGAGACTATTTGCCAGGATGGCTAAGCAACTTGCTTTCCTATTTATGGCGATGCCAATGCAGCCTGATGAGAGGTCCTTCTGTTGGTGGTCTTTTTGTTGTTGTTTATTGATTTCAGAGAGAGGGAGGGAGAGGGAGAGATAGAAACATTAATGAGAGAGAATCACTGATCAGCTGTCTCCTGCACGCCCCCTACTGGGGATCGAACTGCAACCCAGGCATGTGCACTGATTGAGAATCGAACTGTTCATGGGTCGATGCTTAACCACTGAGCACCACCTGCCAGGCTGTTGGTGTTTGTTTGTTTTTTAAATATACTTTTATTGATTTCAGAGAGGAAGGGAGAGGGAGAGAGAGATAGAAACATCAATGACAACATAGAATCATTGACTGGCTGCCTCCTGCACACCCCACACAGATTGAGCCTGCAACCCGTGCATGTGCCCTTGATAGGAATCGCACCCAGGACCCTTCAGTCCACAGGCACCCAGGACCCTCCAGTCCACAGGCTGACGCTCTATCCACTGAGCCACACCGGCCCGGCTGTTGGTGGATTTTTAAAGACTGAGTATATCTGAGACTTTGACCCGGAACATCCACTGCATCCCATTCCGGAGTCCTGGCAGGTCACAGGAGCAGCAGTGACCAGGTGTGGAGAGCCCCTCTCAGCCCCGCAGCACCTGCCTCGTGCAGGTCCACTCACCCTCACAGCTCTTCCTGTCGGGCAGGGTCCGGTACCCACTGGGGCAGGCACAGCGGTAGGAGCCAGGTGTATTCACGCAAGTGTGCATGCAGAGTCGGGGGCGCCCCTCCTGCCCGTAGAGCTCACACTCATTCACATCTGGGAACAGAAGTGCCTGGGATAACTCGGCGGGGCATGCAGTCAGCCCTTTTCCCGGGGGGTGGGGGGGGAGGCACTCCCATTCTGCAGAGCCAAGGGCCAAAGGCCTTGGGAGGAGGGAGGGAGCTGACCAGACAGCTTCCAAGGCTCCTCCATCTAAGGCTGAAGACCCTGGAAAGGGAGGCCCCACAGAGGCTGGCCAACAGGCCCCCAGGACAGCCCAGAGAGCCAGTGCCTGCTGCACCCCAGACTCCCGGCCTACTTTGCAGCCCCCTCTCTGGGTCTTGTTTCTGCTGCAGTAAAAGGAGGCTGTTGGCACCAACTGACTGATTCTCAGGTCTGGACCACCGGCCTGAGTTGTTTTCAGAAGGAGCTTTGGTGAGCAAGATGGTCCCTAGAAGTGGCCTTGTCCATACAGCTAAGCCCAGAGGGGCAGGGAGGAGCCTCGGGCACGTGCCCAGCTCTGTACCCCCACCCCTGTGATTCCAGCCAGGACGCAGGGACAAGGGGCTCAAGGCCAGGTTCTGCCTCGGGGTGAGCCTGGGACCCCTGGCTACTTGCTCATGGCGACCCTCGCCTCCCGCCCTGCCTG